CCACATTTTGTCTATTTAATGAACTTCAGTGACCCTGCTAAGGATATTTCCACTGAGTGTTCAAATACCACCTGGCTTCTACTAAAAGAGAGAAAAAGAGCCAGTTCTCACTGGCTTTCAAAATAAAATTGCTTTTCAATCCTATCCTTTCTAGGGGGCAAAACGTTCTCCACCTAAGAAATGGTTTCTGGGAAAAGATGAAATCCATGGTAGAAGTATAAAGTCATTTGTTAAGAACTCGGAAATATCTAAGGTGGTGCCTCATAGAACCTTTCAGACTTTAGGTGGGCTTTCTCCATACAGCTGGGAAGGCGGCCTCTAGCTGCTCTGTGCAGTCATCATCACAACTAAACCCAAGTGGTGAGAGAAGAGCTGTCTCCCAATAATGGAATATACCAACCTAGGGAACCATCTAATTGGTGCTGTCACAGTCCGTGACCACTCCTGAACCAATCATAATGTTAGGGGATGGGAAACTGACTAACCCTCCTATGTTATGTGTCTATCTAAGTTAAATAGTATTATCTCTTATCAGAAGATGGAGTTGGGAGAAAATACACTGGGCAGCCTCTCAGCACTCAACTCCCCAAATTTACCAGCGTCTCCTCCAGTTGGATTTATTAAAAAATGGTGAGATATAACTTTATTATTATTATAATTTTTAAAAAGCTCTCTGGGAAGGGTTGTAATGTAGAGAAATTTGGTCATCTCTATATTTTAGTTATGTGCTTTCTTTAGCTTTGAGAAATATGTGTAAGCTAGCTGACTTTATGGATTTCCTCCAAGTTTCCCTGAAGTATAAGGATTTTTCTAAAGGCCATGGGAAATCTGAACTTCAAGGAGTCTTAGCTGCTTGGTTTAGGTGAACCAAATGACCCTGAGGGGAAAGCAGTTAGGATAGGAACTAAATGGTACCTGGAAGGGCATTACTCAAATTGATCTGAGGCAGTGCTGAGATCAGTTTGACTAAGGAGAGAGTCAAACTTAATTCTGAGAGGAATCAAGGTGACAGCCAGTATTGAAGATGAGAGTGGGAGGGTAGTGAACTTGGTAATGAGGTGAGTTAAGTAAAGGCAGAAGAGGTAAGAGTAAGGAATGGGTCTCTTAGGAGAGGGCCTGTGAATGAGACAATTTTTCTAAACATGGTACTTGGCATTATAGTAGGGCTGGGCCTAGTGACTTAAGAGAACCACACCAGTTTGTACAAAAAAGGAATTCATAAAGAATATTTTAGGAGCTAGTATGTGAGCACCAGTGTTGCTTGTCACAGTCGTAGAGCTGTTGACTCGAATTTTGTTTAGTCTCAAGTAGGAATTGATACTCATTTGTCAGAGGTTTCTTGATACATAGTGAAGGAGTAATCTTACTGCTAGGATGTTTGCTTTGGTGCCTTCTGGAAGACGATGTGCAGCAACCTTGATGAATGTGGCACAGGAATCAGAATTTGTCACCAAACAACCCTTCCTTGAAAGTAACCCACAAATTGATGATGATTATTCATTTGTTTAATATTTATACTGTATTTGTTTTTAGTGATTAGATCTGAGGCAAGAAGTATGTAAGTTAGGCCTCATGGAATTTGGGATGCATTTGTCATCCCATGAAGAATGGATGACATTGTTTCTTCAAATTAAGAACTAGAAACCAATGATAAATAGGAGTTAGGAAAATGAGAGTGAGCAAAACTGAAAAGGAAGGAAAGGTAGAAAAAGAAAATGAAACAAGACCACTAAAAGATAACTAGAGAGGGGACAAGACCGTTGAAGAGGGGGTTGAGCCAGATAATGTTGGCATAAGAAATATAGAGTATATATTAAAAATATAGAAGGAGATTCTGTCTATATTAATATCTTTGACCATTTCAGCTATTATATCAGCAAAAAAAAAAAAAAGTCAGTTAAAACAGTTGTGGGTGCCTACCTAGCTTGAGCGTTAAGATATGAAAGCATCCCTAGAACCTTGGGGATGCTTTGGCTTGGCTTCTTCTGGATTGGGGGTTGGGATAATGTAGGTAGCCAATCAGAATGAAAGCAGGTTGGCAAGAAGCCAATGGGAAGTAGGCATGGAAATAGATTTTGGTGTGATATCAGTTGGTAGTACTGTCCCTGGCAAACAGACGCAGAGCTGTGCATTGTTCTTTGGGATTTTGAGAGCCTTCATCTCAATTTCAACTTTGAACTAGCTTAATATTGGAGGAACATATCTCTGATCTGGGTAATTTGGAGAAGAACTTAACTTGAGGGTCATTAACACATGAGGATAGCAGGGGTTGAAGACACTAAGGACCTGAAGGGCTACTGGAGGGACAGGTGAAGGCATTTGAAGATGTAGCATTTTGAATCTCTTTCTGGTCCGTCCTCTGCTTCACATAGAATCACTGTGACCTGTAGACCAAACAAGTGCAAAACAAGGGACCAAAGATAAGGCTTAAATATTATTGGAGATACTCTAGGATTTTTAGGTTAAAGCTAGCTGCAAGGAAAAATAAAACAGAACAAATCTTTCTCAAGACCACTGCATAGGTTTGCACAGGGTACATCCTAACAGAGCACCAGTTGAGGTGGGGGCCTGGGGCTGAAATCCAGCCTGGTAGTCACATCTCAAGTCATGTGCCCTGTTGTCAGGCTTCATTGCACTGAGAAAGGGGGTCTTTCTCTAATTCACTCAAAGGCATCATATGATCAAAGCTCAGTCTTGGTCTTTTCCCTTATTTTGAGGTTATTCACCCTTATCCTCATTCCAAAACCTTAACTGGTGTTACTCAACTTGATTTTGTTTCCCATCCACCATCTTTTATTTGAAGGATGCAGAGAGAAGAAAAATAGATATTGGGGCTGGAGTGGTAAAATGGAATTCCAGAATGATTTATACCCACAGAGAAGGAGGGGCATAACATTTATCCTTGCATCTTCCCCCTCAAAGAGTTCAGCCCATCAAATATTTTTGGAGAGCCTATCTTGTGCCACATACCATGTGCACAGCCTTAAGGAAAGTTTGGGCACTGGCCTTTGAGAAACTCCCTGTCCAATGGGTAAAGCAAGCACATTACCATATTGGTATAATGGTAAATGTGCCAATCAATGCACCCCCTCTTCCATATGCATGTAACAGTACAAGGAGTAAATACTAATACTGCTGTTAGTGTTCCTATAAAATGTTCTTGGAGCAAGAGATAGGACAAGAGGTATTAATGTGTGCTCTGTGACAAGAAGAGACATGCTCAGATCTGAGTGTGGCACAATCTTAGGTAGAAAGAGTATGGATGAATTGGGTCTTGGTAGGTCTCATGTTCTTTTTGCATGCTATACAGTTTAGTGTGCAGAAGTGTAAGTGTCAATAATAACCGAAACGACTCCCATCAAGTTAGGTCTGGGGAAAAGCAGCAGCAAAAATGAGTTACTCCTGGTCCAAAACAAAAGTACCAGACCTGATTTACTCTGCGGGCATCCAGCTGACTACCTTGTTGAAGACAAACATTTCATAATGCTTGTATGTTTCATTGTTGCTTTGGGAGGTAAGCGATTGTGGTCTCATGTTCTTTTTGCATGCTATACAGGTTAGTGTGCAGAAGTGAAAGTGTCAATAATAACCGAAACGACTCCATCAAGTTAGGTCGGGGGAAAAGCAGCAGCAAAAATGAGTTACTTCTGGTCACAAAACAAAAGTACCAGACCTGATTTACTCTGCGGGCATCCAGCTGACTACCTTGTTGAAGACCAACATTTCATAATGCTTGTATGTTTCATTGTTGCTTTGGGAGGTAAGCGATTGTTTTTGAAATTCATCTTTCTTCTGTTCTGTGAACCTTTTGTCAATGCAGAAAGCCATCACAACTACATATCTCAAAAGAAAG